CTTAGAAATCCAACAGTTTCTAAAATTCTCGTCCTTCATACTTGATGCGCCATTTTGAATTTTGAAAATTTGACGTACAGGAATATCAATACCAAATCTCCATGCCCTTATTTTAACTGCAGATATCATTTTCCGATTAACTATAAGTACTGCGGATATTATAATTTTTTTTTCTCATCTATTAATAACTTTGCAACCATTTTGACTTCTGGCAATTGGTAGGTATACGGCTTTTGAAAGACATTGACAGTCAAAAAATTAAGTTGCCAGAAATGCACATTATCATTGCAATTTTATCAATTTTTTGCGACTTTATCGACTTCTGTCAATAATAATTTTATGTGATGTGTATAGACAATATTTACTATCATACCAGAATTAAGACATGCACTTCATAATTTTTTTTAATAAAAAATTTTCATTTTTTACCGCCTTTTAGCTCGTTTAAAAGAACTGGAAAACCTTTAAATGTAAGTGACAAAACCCTAATACAGAGGGAGAAGATTCAAAGGGTGACGGACCAACTAGAAGTACGCCGATTGGATGGAAAGACGAATATATCAATGGTGTACCGCCGTGGAATCCCTATTATAATTAAAATACCTCCTCGAAAGCGCACTACCACTCTATACAGTTCAGATAGATGCGTGGGAGGAGAATTTGCTATGATTTCCCTTCTTAGTGCTCAAGGTGCTATTCTTTCTTCCGGATAATATTACTACCGGGATCATAGGAAGTACTTGCACAAATTGATTAACTTGGACAATGTGTCGCTATATACGTATAGTATTTTTGCTAACTTTTCAGTTCCCAACAGAGCTTTGAGGTACCATTCTATATTTGCTGTTGCATTTCATAGAATTAATTACAAATAGATTGTTTAAAATTTCTATTAATTAAAATAGCAGAAAGTCAAAATAGTTATTAAATAATATTAATTGCAAAATACTAATTATTTATTATTTAATAATTATTGTTAATTTATTTATTTCCTAACTAATTAATTATTAATAATCATCAAAATATTAACATCAATCAGATAAACTTTATTATTTATTTTAAACTTAATGCTAAGTCGCAAAAGAAACTAAATGCAACGTTTAAAAGTATGCAATTCTCTAGCTTTATTTTCGTTCATATTAAGAATTATACATTTAAAATATCTATATTTTATGTGCAGTTAGTCAATATAAAAGCTACAGGTTCAACCAGTATCGATTATAGAATAGAAAAAATTATTTATCGTCAGGTAGATAGAACGAACATAAATAAAATTATGTTTAAGCAAATGCGATATTTGTTTTCGTTGTTCCAATAATTTTTAGAAGCAAAAATGTAAAAAAAGACAAATATTATTTATTTATGTTAATATTTATTAATATATATAAGAAGTTATCAATCAAATGTTAATATTTTATTAGTATGTTGATTAAATGATTAAATCGTAATCAAATCTAAAATCAGCATCTAATTGAAGGGGAGGGTGCGTCAATAAATTATTAATTAACTTCTAATGGGAAGAAATATTAAAAGCTAAAATCAAATTATATTTAAATTACTTACCTCGGGGCTGATGATAATGATTAAAACTACACAGTTTTATCAAGGAAAACCCTTTTCTTTTTCAAATTTGATATTTTAACTCTTCGCTTTCTCCCCTGCTTTCGACGATATCTCATAAATGTTGTCCCTCCGGTTTTCATAAAATATACTGTTGAGATTTTGAACCCCGGGCTCTTAAATCTCAACAACCCTCCATAGATAACAAAGTTACTAAAATTTTTTTTCTATTTCATTAATTTGGAAAATAAATTTTTAAATAATTTATGAATTTGAAAATCATATAATTTTTATCTGTAGATTATTATTAATTTTATTCAACGTGGAAAACAAGTTTATAAACATTAACGCGTGTATTTTCTCTCAATATATTATATGTAATCTATATTTTATGTTAATCCTTATATCTTCTATTAAAATTATATTTAAGATTAATACTTTTTTCATATACTTTCTGGAGGCGCATGAAAAGTCTCCAATTTTTATTTTCCAAATCTTTATTTTATAGAAATTTTTTTTATCTAATAAGAATTAATTATAATTTCTTTTAATCGAAAAAATAATTGTCAGAAACATTATGTTTTTGAATGATCGATTGACAGAATGTTTATTAATGCGAAAGAATATTTTTTATAATCTTAAAATCACCGAATTATCATTTATAAAAATTATTATTTACATTCATATTTTCATTTTCGAATTGTCAATTTTAATAAACATTATTTTATAGATTTGTTAATAATTATAATAATTATTTTCCCGAATTATTATCTATTCAATATAATTTTAATATTACCGAATTACCAATTCTTATACAATTTATTGTTCCTAATCATATTTATTTATAATGAGTAAATTTTCTAAATTCTAAGATTTCTAAGATTGAAATATCATTTTTTGTTATAAAACTTTTTCTATATTTTAAATAATTTTTTATTACTCGAATTTTTATTTTTTCTAATATTTATTTTTACAAATGATTCATCGATTATTAAAGTAAAATCAAAGAGAGTATTATTTTGGAAATTGGCCTAAGTACATCGTCTACTAAAGTGGCAGAGTTAAATATTTTGGAAATGAACCTTCTCACATCGCTTGCAAAGTAAAAGAAAAAGTTAATTTGAAAACATATCCAAATATCGTTCAGTACAGAGGAATATAATTTTTAAGCAGTGTACGTAATTCCGAAGCATCGGTTTTGAGGACAACAGTCTGAGTGATACAATACTCCCCAAGAAGACAATACAGCATATCTCATTAGTGAAAACAACCAGCCTAACACTCATTCATTGAGAAAATAAAATGATGGGGACTTGTATCTAGTGATGCATGACTAATATAAAGTCACCAGGTCACCAATGAAAATTGAATCTCCGTGTATAAGAGAGTTTTTTGTTTTTTTCTCAAAATATCTTGAAATTTTTATATCGAGAATAACAAATTTTGTTTTACTTTATCTTTTATTGATTAGCCTTTGTAAGTTTATTTATAATTTTCATTGAAATAAAGATCAAAATTATTTTTTGTTTTCTATTTAATCTCTCGGTTTATGAGTTCGAATCTTTCTTTTCACACAACACTTTAAAAAATCAAACAATCTGTCACACATTCATTCATTCCTCATTCTACAATGTTCCGATTTTTCAAGTTAATCGTTTTGAGTAATTAATTCAGGACACAGCTGTTTAAAATTTGCAAATTGAAAAGTTTACAAAATTGGTTAAAAAAGTAAGGTGTGAATCGCGGAAAAACCTACTTATCTCGAATTTCGTTTGATTGCGAAGCAGACTCGGCGTGCAACCATCAGGAGTAGTTTGTGATGTCGTCCAGTATTTTTGGGTTAAAAATGGTGCAAGAAAAAAATGTAACCTTCAAATCTTTGATAATTAAAATTTAAAGGGATCAAAGTCGGGAGTGGTGCTTTTTCCCTTAAATATTTTTCTTTTTTAAAAAATCTATTGTTATACTGCTTTTTGTTGTCAAAATTCGTTAAATTTTTTCTAATTTACAAAATTCGCATTTCTAAATTAAATTATGTATATAAAAAAAGTTAATTTTAAAAACAGTAAAATAAGAAAAAAAATGGTAACGATTTCATTCGTAGGAATAAAATTTTATATTTTAAGTATTATTAATTTCATTTATTTTACTTCCTCATATAGGAAGTATTGTAATACCGAAATTTTTTGAGTTCGATTTTTTGACATATCTTTATGTTATTTGACCTCAGGAGTTCAAAAATGACATTTTTAAAAAATGTCATTCCGTATGTGTGTGTGTGTGTGTGTGTAAACATCACATTTTCATTAATATCTCGAAATCATGAAGAGCTTTTGGGCTGGATTTTTTTTTAAATTGTAGATCTCACGTGCGGACATAAAGCGAGAGTACTTTCTGATATATTAATAAAGTTTAACTAAATTTTTTTTTGATTTTTAATTTTCCAAAAAAACGTTTTTTGCCCATAACTTTAAAAAAATGTTAGGACACCTATAAATGTTTTTTCATAATTTTGTAGAGTTTTTTTAAACGCATCTTTTGAGCCCTAATTGAAAATTTTTCGTCCATATTAACCGGAGTTATTAAACTTTTAAAAATCAAAAATTTTGGAAAATAAGACTTTTTTGAAAATTTTGTTGAAAAACATTGAAGTAACTTTAAAATTATCGTTATCAACTTGTAGAGCATTAAAAAATGCTTCGATTGACCTATTTTTAAACCTAATTCGATAATAAATTTCTAAATTATTGGTATTTTAAAATCCGAAAATTGTGAAAAATGACATTTTCTCAACTTTTTTGTTTGAAAATTTTTGTTTAACTATTAAATCATTGTAACTATCTTGTAGGGTATTTAAAAATAAATTGATTGACCCAAAATTCAATCACTTTTACCATATTTATAAAAAGTTATTTGTATATTTCTATTATTTTTATTTCTGTGAGGAAGTAAAGTGTTCATGAAATGAGCACCAAAATTATACAAAAAAATATACAACTTGGCAGCGGTTTTAATTTATTTTAACAATACACGGACTTACATTAAAAAAATCTAAATATTTTAATTAATTTTTGTTTACTATTTATTAACTCCAGTTTTTTAACTTCAAATAAAATATAATGGCGAGTAAATTCATAAATAAATTTTTCAAATAAAATTAACGTAAAAATTTTAATAAATACCTGAAGTTTAATTTTTTTTTTAATAAAAATTCCCCTGCTTTTAATTACTTTTTACCATAAATTTTTTTAATAAAATTTTGTTTAATCAAAGGAATCGGAAAATTTTCAAGTCTGCAATTTTCCAATTAAAACTTTAATCAAGAAATGGAATCTTATGATATTAAACGACTGTGTTTTCCAAGTAAAATTAGCATAGAATAATAATGAGTAATTGTTAACGAGTCAAGTTTCTTTTCTTTTACTTTTTCTCTCTATCTTTTATTTCTTGTCAGATTTTTTACACTCTTGAAATATTTCTTTAAGCTTGTGTAATTTTTCTTCAGCAGACGATATCCACTCAAGGGCCTTATCAAATTCAAGGTTTGATTTTTTTCCATCATTTCTTAAAGTTTCAATCTTTTTTATTATCTCTGACTTGCTCAATTTTATGGAATCAAAGATGTCACTGAGACACTCAAGAATATCGACTAAAATTTCAAAGACAAGAATAATTTAATTCTTTAATGAACGAGTGTTCTTTTTTGATTTATTATATTTTTTTCTCTTATATTCTATTTTATTCTTGATACACTCTCATTCTTAATTGGCGATTTTAATTGACTTTTGTTTAAGAATTTTATACAATAATTTCCATTAGGATCAATTACTCTTTTAGGTGAATTTATTTTGATTGTTAATTATCAGTTATTTTGTTATTATTATTAAAAAATTATTTGAAATTTTAATTAACACTCTGTTGATTAATAATTTCATAAAATAATTCCCTTAATTATTAATTTATTATTGAAAAATTATTTGAAATTATACGATTATTGTCTTTTGTTTAATAACGAATTTTATAAAATAATTTCTTTCAAATAAAGAAAAGTAAAGATAAACTTTTTTTCAAAATTCAAAACTATTTTTAATAGACGTATTAAATTAAGTTTAAAAATGTTATGCAAAAGAATCTTTTAGAAAATTTGTCAAAAATAATTTTAAACGAAGAAAATGGAATTTTTTAGATTTTTTAAATAATAATATTACCTTCCGCATTTTTGTTCGTATTATTATCAGTACATTTTTGTAAAACTCGTTTTGCCTCTTGAAATAATTTATGAGTTTGATAAAGAACTTGTTGTACGTGAGGATTTTTTTTATTCGATTTCTTTAAAGTTTCTGTAAATTTTTCCGAGGACTCGATTTCATGTAAAACTACATTTACCGTATTTAGAGCATCTTTTTGTGCTTCATGAAGACATTCCATTTTTTCATTTTCCTCATTTGGCAATTCTATCGAAATTGTTATTGATTTCAATTTTTCCACTTTTTTGTCACTTTCCATTTTTTCCAAATTTTTATCTCCTTCCTGCTAAAAAAAATTATTTTTATCCATTAAATAATTGATTATAATAAAAAAATTTTTAAAAAAATTAGAAATCAAGAATTATTCCAATAAATAATGAATTAATAAATATATTGTAAATAAATAATTATTTAATTAATTAGATTTTTGTCATGAAATTTTTATATTGGTGAAAAAATCATAAAATCAGGAAAACAATACAAAACTAACATTTGATTGTTTAATGCAATTGGACATTTTTTCGATAATTCCGGGAATTGTTTTTTGAACTTCAATTTGTGCATTTTTAAAGCAAATATTCGCTGATTTCAATACTTGATCAATAGTTTCAATTGAATCGTTTGATGATGATTTTAATTTATCCAAAAGTTTACTATATTTCTCATGTGCAGTTTGATTTTCTGTTTCGACGCAATTTTTTATACTTTCCTTTTTATTTAAACATTCCTTGAGTGCACGTGTTGTTAATTTCTTTAAATCACGTACTTGATCTAAATTATTTTCATAATTACTGCGAATTGTTTCAAGTTGAATGAGAGTTTTTTCACTGCAATCGCGAATTTTATTGTTAAATTGTTTTTTAACACTCTCAATATTACGATTATATTGATTCATACAATTTTTATGTGAATCAAATTGATGTTGAGAAATTTGCATTAATTGTAAAATTGATTGTTTCGATTGTTCGATTTCCTTGTTTAAAAATTGATTACTCGCTTTTATTGAGTCCTCAATTTTTTTTGTTGCAGCGGAAAATAATTCCTCCGCCTCTTTTGTTTTTAAATCCAAGGCCAATGTCACTTTACGCAAAAAATCGCGAATTGATTTTGCAAATTTTGAATTTAATGCGTCGTTATCTGATTTTTTTGTACTTTGGCTGGTCTGAAACAATCAATGTTTAAATATTTATATATTTTTTATTTCTACACCTTTTTATTTTTAATGTTCTGTTCTATTTCTTTTTAATTTTCCTTCTTTTAAATTTGTCAATAAAAATAATTTTTCGAATTTAAATTCAATTTACTTTATAAAGAAAAATGGAAAAAACTATTTTTTTTAATTTTGAGAAAATAACCTGAATAGCAATTTTTAAAAATTTTCTAATGTCAAATTAATTAACTGTTAGATATTTTAATTCTTTAATTTTTGGTTTCATTTCTCTTTCTTTTGAAAATTGTTATTCTTTTAAATTTTTCATTAAATAATAAATTTGTTAAAAATAAATTCAATTTTGCTCCATAAAGAAAAGAGAACAATTGATTTTAATTTTTAAGAAATAACCTTCAAAGAAATTAAAAAACTTTTTCTAATTGCAAGAGTAAATAAATAAATAAAATTTAAAAAATGGAAAAGTTAAATTTCATATTTTTATTTTAATCAATTTTAAATTCCTGTTCTATTTTTCTTTCTTAATGGTTGTCCTTCTTCTTATTTTGTTTATAAAAGATAAAACTTTTTAATTGAGATTAAATATTGTAAATTGAATAGGAATTTTTTCAATTTCAAAAATAAAAAGAAAATATTTGATAGCTATTTATTTGATTTATTTTTTGATGACTTTCAATGTTCCCTCTTTTGTAAATCGAATCTCTCTTAAATTTATTCATAAAAATTATTTTTTTCTATTTAAAAACAGAAGTTATAGTCAATTGTTAAAGATTTTTATTTTTTTTTCATTTTTGGTACAATTTTTAGTATTTTATTTTTATCCATAAATTACACATTTTGTGAAATATAGATTCCATTTTGCTCTAGGTATAAAAAAAGAAAATAATAAACATTTTTTCAAATTCTGAAAAAAACCTGAAAAGAAATTTTTAATTGCTTTTAATTTACATTTTGTTGTTGTTGTAAAGTTTCCTTTCATTTAATTTTGTCCATAGTTATTGATTTTGTGGAATTTAGATTCAATTTTGCTTTATAAAAAAATATGAAATAAATATTTCTCCAATTTTTTTGAGAAAATATCTTATGGAAAATTTTTTATTTTTGAAAATAGGAACTTAATTAATTGTTCCATATTTATATATTTTATATATTTTAATTAAAAAAATTAAAACTTATTTTTTCATTTAATGTAATTAAAACTAAAAGTTAAATTTATATTTTTTGTAAATTGTCTTTCTTTTGAATTTGATCTTAAAAATTTAATTTTTTTCCTTTTTTTGAACAATTCTTAAAATCGTTAAAAAAATAAAAAAGAATTTTTTTCAATTTCCGAAAAAATAACCTGAAAACAAATTTTTAAAAATGTGAAATTGAGGACTAAATGAATAAAACAAAATGTCAAATAATATATCGAAAAAACCTGTATAAATTTCAATTGACTGCTCCTAAGTGCTCGTTGAAAATTGAAAAACTTCCACATTCTTAATCATATTGACACATTTTGGATGTAATTTTTTTTTCATTTTCGCTTGTCAAAATTATTTATTGAACATTCCTTCTTTTTCAATTGAATCTCGTATTATGAAGCTCTGAACAAGTGGCTCTGTTAAAATCACATTCAATGTGAAATTTTTTTTCTTCACCAAGTAGAGAGAGAGAGAGAGAGAACTAAGAAAAATACAAGCAGAGAAAAGTTATCTTATTTCAGAAGTCTGAAGTCAGCTTCTATTACTCCTTATCTTCACTGAATTTGATGCTGATCACGTCTCGAATACCAAATCTACGAGTTTGACTTAACCTTTGAAAAAACGTCTATCACACAGAGCCACTAGTTTTCTCTCTTTTATTTTTTTTTCTTTTTGTTTATCTGAAAACGGTTCAGTGAAATTTTTTTTACTTTTCGTTTCTTTCGAGACTTGTCAGACAGAAATTTAGTCTCGGGATTATAAAATCAAGTTTTTCTTTTTTTAAAAAAAACTTACTTTTTCTCTACAGCAGACACTTTTTTTTGAAAAAAAAGAAAAAAAAATAGAAACTTGAAAGTGCATTTCCTCATTGCTTCTGGAAAATATGAATATTGTAAGACGAGCTTTTAAGTTCTAAAGCTCTTAAGTACTCTCGAGGCTAAGGGTTCTTTTAATTTTTCATCATGGTTGTAACCTGTTTAATCATTCTCAATGAAACTTTTATAACAATTTTATTATTTCCCATGAAAAATGTTTTCTATTTTTATAAAAATTTCCATTTCTAAAATTAAATATCAAAAAATAAAAATAATGAAACAAATTTTTCGTAACTTTATAAATAATACACAAAATATTTTATAATGCGAAAATAAAAATAAATTCATCTTTTATGATATGATTCTAGAATAAATGTTTAAAAAATCCTCTAGTATCGAGGGAATAATATGTAAAATTTGATTTATTTGTTTTTTCATATTACACAGGATTAATAAAAATTTATATCACATCAAATTTTTTAAAACGTATCATATTTCATATGAAATGTGTAATTAAATTTATCTACGACAAAAAATAACGATTTGAATGAAAATATTTTTTTCGACTTTTTAAATTTTGCTGGAATTATTAATGGAATTGAATATTTTTGAGAGAGAGAGAGAGAAAATAAAAATTATGAAATAAAAATAAATAAAAGAGGAAATAAAATTATAAATCTGGAAATAAATATTTTTGAGAAAATTTTTTTTGAAACTTTTGTTCTCATCTTCAAAACCGTGTAATAATAAATTTTTTTTTATTTTATTACTTAGAGATTGCTTGTGAATTTTATTAGTTATATATAATTTTTGTTAAACAAGTTATTTATCAAATGCATCTAACATGATGTAACTTGAAAAATTTATTATTCTCTTGTGATATGATAAAAAATGTGACTTGTCCCATCTCATTTTTATTTTTCCCTTGCCTCACTCTCCGGGGATCAATAGCAACATAAACTTGCTGAGTTTCATGTTTTATCCACAGCTAAAAGCTAATTTTGAAACAAAACTATCTCGTAGTGTATAAAGTCTCTAATAAAAAAGAATTATTTATTAAACAATGTTAATAATTTCTTGAATTTTTATTTTTTTAACCGATTAGGAAATTACTGTAAAGTTTAAAGTGCCTGGATTTTCTTTAAAATTTCTTAATCTCCCTCAAAAATTTGTATGAATCTAAATTAGAAAAAAATTAAATTTAACTAGAAATTTGATTAAAAATTATTAAAAATTTGTTAGTTATTTACATTTTTATTTTTTAATTAATTTAATTAGAATTTAATTTTCCTCGACTTCTAAGTGTATTTTATTTTTAGAAAAATAAAATTACCCAAAATTTGTAGAAGTTTTTTTTACTAATTAAAATTTCAGTAAATGACTTTCACACTTCTCTTTGAAAGCTAGAAAAAATTAAATTTTATAAAAATAATTTCGTCGGAAAAAAATTCTCCCAAAAGATTGAAAATGGTTTAAATTCAACTTTCAATGAATTTTTCTCTTTTAAACGACAATCTTTTTAGAAAATTTCCGTTTGAGAGACGTGATCTATCAAGAAATCTTCTTTGACGCTTTTATCACTGCTATCGTACAAAAAAAGGAGCATCGAAATGCGAACGCACGAGGCTTTTGATGTCTGATCCCTTCTTTCAATGCTACATAGTCCGGATTTTTTTTTGCTTTTACCTTTTTTTATCTTAAACCTATATTTATCTAAATAAAATGCGTCCACATTTTGTCAGGATCATGGGGAAAAATAATCTCTTCAAAGCAATATCAAACATTTGAAAATTTAATTTTTTATTTATGAAAAGTCAAAAAGATAAAATTCTATCTTTATTTTCTATATTTAGAATAAAAGAGAAAGAAAATTCTTTATTTCTATCATAAATTAACAATAAAACGTTTTTTAGTGAGGATTACTCTATTAGAAATTAATCTAAATTTTTTTTCTCTTCGAAATGAATTTTTATAGAAAAATTTTAATTTTGTTCCTAAATTTGACCTAATATAAAAATGAAATTTTCTTTTTTAAAGGTTAATTCAAAAATGAAAAAATAAATTCTTTTCTTCTCTCTATTTTTGCAAAGGAAAATTCTTATCGATTAAGGATAAATGAAAAGTTTGCACATGTAGTGCATTCAATTTTTGACAAAGCTTTTTTTTGGCTTTCATATATATTCAACTCGGCTATAAGTTGAAGAATGATCCCTCTCTCATCTTCTCGGGTATGGAATGTCATGCATTCAAGACTCTCGAATCCAAATGCAAGAGGATGGTACCATGGCCTCGATTGATTTCAGGTATTTTCATCGATCGTCTGCGATTGCAGTATTCAATATAGGTACAAGATATATACGCATTTCTCGCAACCAATAGCAGATAAATGAGTTTTTGCGCATTTTATAAAACTCTCTCTCACTTTCTCACCCTCTCTTCTCTTTCTCATCTCTAATTGCGTGTATAGAGCAACTGCTCCACTAGTTTTAATTTCCACTTGTCTTTCATTCATCATTTTTCAATCACTTTTTTCGTACTTTCACGAATGATATCGAAATTCACTTTGAAAAAAAGTCGGGATAGAGAGAGAATAAATAAAATAATATTAATTATTTCGCTATTGATATTAAGGAGGCTTACAAACTCATAAAGGTAAAAACAGGAAGTTTTTTCTGAATGTCTTTATTAGAAAGAGTGGTTCAATATATTTATTTAAACCGTTTTGCATATTCTTTCGAGTGGTCATGATCAACAGAGACAGGATAATCTGAAATAAATGAAAAGGCTTCTCCCACCGAGAATTATTTGCGCGCGTCGATTTCTCCCAGTCGAGAATCCGAGCGCCTCTGCGAATCTCCCACCACCTGCTGATGACTAACCAATCGTGAAAGACTCGTTTCATTGCGCGGGTATATAAGGAGCGTTCTTATCATCTGTCAGGGACTAACTAGACACCTGAAAACCTCAATTTATCTGACATGTATAAAAATGTATTAAACTATTATATGAACAATAAAGAAATCTGTCAGGGATATTGGAATTAGGACACCCTAAGAGCAAGAATACATGGATTCTACAAATTCGGATCTATATCATATTTCACATCATTATTCATATCATTAGTTCACATCTAAAATCACGAAATTTAAAATAAAAGGATATAATTGCATAAGATGCGATCGCAACCTCTCCTCCCCGGGTGCACTTCCATTTTTGTTAAAGACATATACCTATTCGAAAAAATGTATATACCCCCTAATTCTAGAATAACCGAAAACATGTTAAGGGAACTAACATTTAAAATACCTTCGGTTGGAAAATTAGTGATCATGGGGGACTTTAATGCCCACATGACTGGATTTCTACCCTTCTATAACAACAGACTGGGGAAAATAATAACCCAATTACAAGAAAACTTGGACCTGATTATCAGTAAACCAACCTACCTTTCACCTCGAAAACAAGCAGGGAGTGCTTTAGATCTGCATCGTTTTCATCCGACTTGGTATTGTGTGTTCGTCAGAGACTCTGGATGAGAGATATGATAGCGACCACTTCCCGGTTTCACTGACGATACCGAAGTGTATGGAAACCTCTTGTCAGAGTTTTGCAAGATTACAAACCAAAAAATGAACTGGTCCAATTTTTTTGAACAAGTTCTCCACATCTTTGCAAACCTTAATAGTGATCCAAAAACGTACCAGAATTCTATGATGAAGTTTCCCAAGCAATGGTAGACTCTCTATTAAAGACAGGAGCTTACTTTCCAAGGCAATCAAACAACTCACCCCTCGCTAGGATCTAAAAGAATTTGGGGCCTTATGAGGGCATTCTCAGGGAAACACACAAAAAATTCAATCACTTCCAATGACCCGGACTCTACAGAACTAACTACCCTACAAAATGATCTGATTAAAGAGAACATCCAACCTATTCCTCATGTAAACCTAACCAAATATAGACGAAAGCAATATATGTAATCAACCTTTCACTAAAAAAGAGTTCTTTTCAGCCTTATCGAAATGCAAAAGAGACTCTGCACCGGGATTGGACAGAATCTCTTATGCTACAATAAAAAAATATCCACTCTCTTGCTTGGAGTTAATTAAATAATTCTTCAATGAATGTTATATACAATCTATATTCCCGGAGGGTTGGAGGTCGACCTTGGTCTGCTTCGTGCCTAAACCCCATGGTAAAGGCTTTAAGCCGATATCCCTCACGTCAGTTTTAGGGAAACTGATGGAAAGGCTGGTACATGCTAGATTAGAACACTTCGCAGAAAACAATAATCTCATACCCAACTTCCAGTTTGGATTCAGAAGAGAGACTAGATATTAAAGGAGCAATCAACGCCCTCATCCCCTCGGCATTCTTAACTCAACTAAACAAAGACAAGGATCCCCCAGGATAGGGAACTTTGTCTCCTTCATGATTACAAGGAAAACACTATTTTTTAAGGGGGACTCTTCAAACCCACGAGTCTGTACCGCTGTACTCATGTCAAAATGACGGCAATGTCACTCAGACACATATTGAGCAAGCTGTTGATGATATAATCCCCTAGCATTTCCACAAATAACAGGCAGTTTTGCATTTTCTCCAGGAATTCATTAGATTTTTCTCAGGAGTGGTTGAGAGTTTAAGACACTCAAATAGAAAACTCTAAAAAAAACCACTTACCTTGGAGTAAGGGTCTTACCAGAACGCTTCTGGAATAGGCAACAATCTTAATCGCAGGTTTCAGTAGGTACAGATTAAAAACCCGTAATCGAGTTCAATATGCAGCCCTTAGAGTCGTTTTGGGATGCATGCGGTCTACACCCATACCTGTCCTCCTATCGGAAGCTGACGAACCCCTATTGAAGTGCAGAAGGTAATCAGAATTACTGTGTGCAGAATTACTGGGTGCAGAATTAATCAATAGAAACATTGTTCGGCTGGTAAGCTGGAGTGATAACCCAATCAGCCATAGACTCGACCTAATTTCTAATAATATCAGTCAAAAAAAGCAAAGTCCTAAATACCTATCCGAATTTCCATTGATAAAATTCTATAACCCTATCAGCCAGATTGCCTCAACACTTGAAAGACCAGAAAAACCACATTCTTCGACATAAATTGGACAGAATTAATATATAACAAAGAAGATCAACTGGACACTGATACAGGTTTTATGATTAAATCACCAGTCCTCCCGACAACACTAAACAACCAAATATTGCAAAACAAATTTTCCAATAGCACCATTATTTCTGTCGACGGATCCTTTATTGAGAAAAAGAGCAAGGCTGCTGTAACAAACCGAATTAATTTTAATCGTAGTTGCTTCCCACATTATTTAAATTTCGAGAATCGATCACGCGATACGACCAATCGATGCAACAATTCTCGATGCTGATAGAGCAGACGACAAAACCGCGTGCTAGCGAAAAGAAACGCCGAGCGGCAGATTGTCGTAAGCTACGCTAAAGATTGTTGCGAATTACGTACTAAATTGTTCGCGATTGGCTTTTATCTTTTGTTTAGAAACTGTTCTTTTGTGTGAAAATAAATTTATAATTAAACATAACTCCGTTCGTTTAATTATTATTAGTGTTAGTGTTCTATTGTGTCACTAACTATTGTTAGTGTTCGTTTCGCATTTCCAATTCAACGAGAGATTCCTCGTCGCAGAGAGCCAGCGATTCTCAGCGGTAAGTCTATATTTTCTCTTGGCCAACGTGGTTTGCAGTATTTGCAAATATTCCTTCTCTCGCTCTCTGCAACCTGTGTAGTCGCACCCAGAGAGTTCTGATCAAACTGTGTGCGAGTGTATATTGTGCTTTCCGTCGCGAGTCGAACCCATACGTATATACATTTTTTATTGTATTATATACGTATATATCAATTTTTATAAATTAAAATCTCGCGATCAGGGTTGTCACACTGCATACAGCATCTACATACCTGAAACCGAACAAAGACAGGGGGTCAGATTACAAGGCTGTCTTTCCTCTTTGATCGCGGAGCTTTCCGGTATCCACTCTGCTCTTAAATACACATTCGAAAAAGATATCATAAATACCTTAATCCTGACTGACTCATTATGATCATTACATTTACTCAAAAACAGACTAGAAAATACAGAAACACGTAAAATCATACATGAAATTATTCAACTACTTATTTCAATACAACACAAGAACTGAAACGTTAACATCGTTTGGATTCCGGCACACTCCGGGATTGAGGGAAATGAGGAGGCCGATAAATTGTCCAAAATTGCTCCAAGACTTCAAATAAGAAAGAGGGCCACTTACTGAGGGAGGATATGAGAAACCTAATAGATGGGGATTTCAGAGCTTCGATATGCAGGGACTGGCTTTTTTCCCAGAAGCCAAAACAAGACAAACCTACATTGATTATATTACTTCCAAAACCAAAAAACCTTGGTTTAGAGGGTATGACCTGCCACTGCAATCGATCAATTTAGTCAGAAAAACAAAGTTCAGGAAATGCTGGAACAACAGTTCAGAAAGTCAAGAAGCAGGAAGGTGAAGTCCTAGGTCACAACAAGCGAAGAATGACACTTATAGTTGTTGTCATCGACCAAGAAGCAAGTAGAAAGACAAGAGAGATTGAGGCGCATAAAAATTGACTTTATGTGCTGATAGGTCAGGAGAAAAGTGATGTCGTACGGTGTCATCGATTCCTAGGATGCGGCCATTTAGGGAAAGGCTACAAGGAGGTGGATCGATCTGCTGCGTGCTTTAAGTGCGGAGGAGCTAGTCAAACGCTTTCCTCCTGCCAGAAAAGCTCAAGCTGATTCTTATGCAAGGAAAAGTTATGTGACAAGATGAATATCAACAATCTCTCCGGACGTGAAGTGTGCGGAGTATTCAAATAGGCTATTGAAGGAGACAAGAAGACTCTCGCAAGGACCAGGAACAAGTAGGTCAAGGAAGATATGAAAATGCACAGGTCGCGTAAGCGAAATCCTTGGGACTTTTTTTTATGAAGTTTGAAGTCTGAAGGTAGTTTCATAAGAAAAAAAATTCCAGCCATTGACGGGAGTGGTTTTTAGTGGGTCGACCAGAATAAGAGCGTTCCACATAACCTTGAATTTAATCCAGTTATCTGAAACTTTACAGATTATCCACTTCGTACTACAAAAATGTAATTGCAAAACTTTATATATTCAAAAATAATTAATGAAAAAAATTTTTAATTTCTCTTGAAAAAAAATTATAAGTAATTTGTTTTGTTTTAAAGCGTTGAATATAAATATTATTATATGAAATTCAGATAAAATAATAAAAAAAATTTATTTTCATGGATTCTCTTTTGTGCTTGCGCTACGGAACAACGATTTTCTAATATATATATATATATATATCTTGGCGTGAGTGACATAATTTTTCGTTTACGGTCTTTCTTTTTCTTAGGAAGAAAAGAAAAATATAGGGGAGAGTCTCCAGTTGTGAGACACCTCCAGTTGTGAGACAGTCAATTATTTTTAACATGCAATATTAA